TCACTTCTTCTTCAAAATTTGAGGTAGGGATTTTCTTAGATATATATATATATATTTGCAAGATTATGTTGATTTGGAACTCTTTTGGGAAGTATGGAAACTTTCTAATAGTTGTTTTGCAGATCATGACCTTGAGAAAGAAGTTGGCTTTTGTTGGCTGTAATGGGTTGGGGTGATTAGGATTTTATTTGTTAGGTGTGTTTTGTCACGGCATTGCCAAAGGGGGAGATTGTTAGGTTTTTATTCTTGGCAATCCCGGTTGACAAAACTCCTTTCAGTTGTACTTATTTTTGCACTTTTTATTTCAGTGAGGTTATGAGTTTTTAGATGCGAATCCAACCCGAATTGTGCCTTGCAGAGAAGTTGGTGATGTTAATGCTTTCAAGATTGCCACTTCGCTGATTATGACGGGGATCGAGCTGCCCGGTCAGCTCCCGGGGGTCGAGGGGGCAGCGCCCCTTGGCGGGTCTGGGGCAGCGCCACGGCGAGGTTGAGGGGCAGCGCCCCCGAAGCAAAATGCAAAATTGCATTCAAAGTTGCCTGTCCGCCCTTGCTTGCTTGAGAGAAGAAATGCTCGCTCGAACGAAGGACTGCGTCTGCATAAAGACTTGAAAGAGGTGTTTGTTCGCTCGAGCGAAGGATGAATGGCTCGAGCGAAGCCACTTATGGAAAACATGCGTTTTTGGTTCCTCGCTCGAGTGAGAGAGTCTTCGCTCGAGCGAGCTTCGCAGTTCCAGATTTCTATAAGTATTTGTTTTGGTTCAAAACTAGGATTACTGCTCCAGATCTTCTTTTTGGATATTAAGGTTTATATCTGGGGATATTTTACTAGTTTTCTTTGATGTTTTGATTGAGTATTCAACTCATGGTTTAAAGAGTTTACATCAAAGGATTATTTGTTTGTTCTATACAAAAGAGAGAGTTCTTCTTCGGTGGATTCTGAAGAATTCGAGCCTGAAGCTTTGGTGGATTCTGGAGTGGCTCATCGTCAAGACAATTCCGACATGAAGACGGGGTTGGAAGAGGCACATAGGGGTTGGTTTAATTTGGGCGTGGATTCGCTAGGTAATTGAGAGTATACCTGTGTAATTCCTTTATATCTTCTTAGTGGATTGTTTTGTGGCTGTTGCCCGTGGGTTTTTTTATCACAATTGGAGGTGCTCCAATTGTGGGTTTTCCACGTAAAATCGTTGTGTCGATTTGTCTTGATTGTTTGATTGGGATTGTTGTTTACTGCTTAAAATTGATACATAACCACAAATCAACATATAGGGGATTTCTAGATTTTTCAAATATGGTCGTGATATTACCACAGGAAAATTTAGACAGTTGCCTATTGTGGAGAGTGGAGAGGTCATTGCTTTGCTTGATATAGCAAAGTGTTTATACGATGCTATTGCCCGCATGGAAAGAGCAGCTGAAAAAGGAAAGGCCATTGCAGCTGCTGTTGAAGGTGTTGAAAAACAATGGGGGGCATCTATTGCTGGTTTGTAGAGAGTGTATATTAAAAAAATTCTCTAGCATACCATCTTGTCTATTGCTGTTTTATTTATTTTTCGCTTGATAAACAGGTCCTAACACATTCATTGAAACACTTCGAGATCGAATGTTTAGGCCCTTTTTGTCTACAATCATTCCTGAGAATTCAAAGTAGGTAATATCTTCTCTGTTTTTTAGTTCCTTACATTGATTTTATTTTGTATATTATGTGGCTATTTTTGATAAAATAAATTTCCTAACATAATAGAAGTGGGATTACCAATTGTGGCATTGTCAGGATTGCAACTGTCTCGCCAACTGACACAGTGTTAATGGAAACAAAGAAGATGGTTGAGTATGGTATGAGCTCTGCTGTTGTAGCAGTTGAAAACAAAACACGAGGAATTTTAACGTGAGCATGTTGTTTATTGAATTGACATTGCAAATTTCTTTTGGGTCCTAAAAAGAAATTATGCAAACATCTACAATTTTTATAAGGTAATGTAAAGCATGAATTCTGATAGGTCCCTGCCAATTTTCTATCAGGTCAAAGGATATCTTGATGCGGGTAATAGCACAAAATCTTCCTCCAGAGTCCACTCCAGTGGAGAAGGTGATTTTCTTGTTGGGATTTTTCCCGCTATCGAAAATTTTACAAGTTTTTGCTTTTCCTATGATCTATAATAAAATAATCTTATGCTTTCCAATTAAATCATAGGTGATGACCCCAAATCCCAAATGTGCAACAGTGGATACACCCATTGTTGATGCTCTACATATCATGCATGATGGAAAATTCCTACACCTTCCTGTTGTTGATAAAGGTATTTTATATTCACAATCACACAAAAAAGGTTGTATAGAAGTTCTTATGATTTTCAATTATAGTTTATGACTAGTATGAATGGTTGAACACAGATGGAGTAGCGGTTGCTGTTGTTGATGTACTTCATATCACTCATGCTGCTATAGCCACAGTAAGTCCTCTATCTTTTTGGGACCATCAATTGTCTTGCATGAGTTTGAGGTATAAAACATAATTGCTTTTTTTTTACAGATTTTGATAAGTATTAATAGCTAATTCTGCTAGGTAATTAATCATATATAGTATCTGAACTTCAATATTGAAGATTCCTTTTTCAAAATCCCGTATTTCTTTTTAATTAGTGGAGAACAATATGGTGTCATCGCTCCCTGCTGTCTTTAGGTGGGAAGCAATGCTGGGGTTAGTAACGATTCGTCACCCAATATGATGCAAAAATTTTGGGATTCTGCTGTGGCATTATCTCCTGATGAGGAGGAAGATGCAGAATGGTTAAACACCTTTTGCTCTTAAGATGATATTACATTTTTAATTGTGTGTGTTTATTTTACATACATATTATTTGTCATGTTTTAGTGATAATTCTTTCAAATTGGCGTCTGAAAGCATTGAGACAACAAGATCACTTCCCTACCCTTCGTCAATTGTGCCTAATACCTTTGCTTTCAAAATTCAAAATAAGAAGGGTCGAATGCATAGATTCAATTGTGGTATGCCTCTTCTTCTGCTTGTCATGTTGGCATGCATTCTATAAATGCAGCATAGAATTTGAACCTTTGGATCTCTATTATAAGAAACTACTGATAGAACTAGTTAGATTTATCATTTTGGCTCAGAAACTAAAGATTTGTCATTTATCTTTAATTTAGACATCCATTATCCACATCTTAAGAATTAACATCTCTTAACTGAATTTCTCTAAACTGGTTTTGGAGTTTAGATACACGGAGTTTGATTGATCTTGTGACTGCAATCCTTCAGAGGGTGGGGGATGAAATTGACCGCAACAACTTGCCTAATATTTTGGTATATAATCAATATCTCATTTCTTATTTGGATTCTCAGTTTTTACTTATGAGCTCATGGACAACCACATTTTCAGTATGAAGATGAAGATCATGACAACGTTGTACTTGCGTCAGATAGTGATCTTGCTATAGCTGTGGACCATGCAAGGTTAGCCGGTTGGAAGGTAAGAATGGTCCTTTCAGTGCTTATTTCACAAGTAAACTGAAGGAAGCTAAGTTACCCAAAGCAAATATTTTTTCTCCTTAACCTTCCTTAATTTTTTTTTAACAGGTATTAAAGTTGCATTTAGATCATTCAGGAACACAAGGTCAAAGGAGAGGATCACAATCTGGAGGTGTAGGGTATGCTCAATCAGATGTGTGGGCTTCAGCATACAGTGCTTTAGCTGCAGGGGTTGCACTAATTGCCATATTAAGCATGTTAGCATACTTGAGGAGGAATGGTAACTGATAATTATTTATACCCTTCTTTCGGTTTATAAAATTGATGTATTGGGAGCAGCAGTAGAAGAAGAACTGAGTTTCTGTGACTACCAAGGATAAAGCTAAAATTGATCAATGATCCTGGCTGGCAGGTCTCATGCTCAACATTTGTTTTTGTATATTAATATCTCAATAATTTTATCGAGTCAGAACCAACAACATACATCAATTGCATTTGTATTTCTGTGGTTAGTTTTGTATCCATAAAATTATTGTTTATATTTGCAGGGAATTATTTATTCATTTATTATTTTTTTTCTGTTGGGTATTCCCCTAGTTTACATGATGGGATAGGTGAGAATTGTTTGTGAGGAGGATTTGTAGCTTCCTGAACTCTGGATTTGTGCATTATTAATGGATAATAGGCAGAATCTGAAATTTTCAAATGTTGTTTTTCTATAATGAAGTTGTCAAACATTCATTATTGAACCAAATATGAAATTAGGAAAATTCTATGATACACACTCATTTATACACCTCTAGTTACAAATTTTGTAATATTTGATTATGATATTTGAGGAAATTGTTTATTTATTATTTTAATAAACATCAATTATTAGTTCTTAATAATTGTTTATCATAGGTTTTTCTTTTTTTGTTCAACCACATAAAATTAGCACAATTTTTTTTTAAAAAAAAGAAGCTATGGTGGCGTTTTTTAAACGTCACTATATCTCAACCCTAACGACTAAATTTTTAAAATGTATAAATGTTTATGACGGCGTTTCAAAATGTCGCTAATTATCATAGTGTGACGTCAGAGACTGTTAGGTAAGACATTTGGCGGCATTTTTAAAACCCCTCCTATACTTATATCACGACGTTTTTAAAACGCCATAAAGCTATAGTGACGGTCGCGTCCTCGGCAGTGAAATATGAAATTATGTCATTTTCTTCTATAGTTATGACAGGCCGATTACCATTTTCCCTTATTTTATTATCACAAAAACATGTATTATTAGTGATAATCACAGAATTGAAATATAAAAACATTTAAATATAATATTTCAGTTAATTTAATTTGTATGACTATAAAATTTTAAGACCGTGTTCGGATTTTATCCTAAAAGATTTTGTGTTTTGACAATATCTTTCTTGATAAAACTTATTTTTAATTATTGGTTCAAATTCTTGTTCATTATCTTCTTGGTCTCACTATTCTTGGTCTTTTAAACTATTTTTAATGGCTGGAAGTTTCATGCTCAAGATTAAAATTCAAGACAATTTTGGTGGCGCAAAGACTTTGTGGTCAATTGATTATTGACATAATCAATTTGAGATTTTGTTGAACAAAATTTTCAAACATAAAAATGAATCTTGGTCTTTATTGAAATAATCACTTGAGATTTTGGTTGGAAGAAGTCTTTGAAAAAGTTAAAAAATATCCGGAGTTGATGTTACACGTTGAAATTTGAAACCATTACTTCGATCGCTTTTGCATTATCTTTATTAAAAAAATCAAAGTGTGTTTTTTTTGTGAACAACTTGTGTCATCTTTTCAGCCCAAAAGGATTAGATATGTAAATAAGTTGTCAACGCTTGGTGAGCATGGAATTTGCGAAACAACAAAGCAGTGCAAAAAGTCCACAAAAGCTGCCGGTTCACACGGTAGTGCCCGAGACCATACCAATGGCGCTCGCAATTAAGCATACCGCAGCTGCGACATTTATCATTGCGCCCGCAATTTGGAGAGTCCGAAAGTCCAGCTCTCAGAAGTTTGTTTGCAACCCACGAAGCACATGACCGTCCCCGCAAACTTGTCCTGCCTCAAGTCTATTTAAAGGATCCTTTGGTCATTTGTTAAGGTACCTCTCCAAAATCATTTTGTTTATCTCTTAGAGCTTTTTCTATCTATCTAAAACCTCTCTAGTGTTAGCAATGGTTAAGAAAATTCTGCTCAAAATCAGAATTTTTAGTCAATTTTGGTCTACAATATAAATAGGACCCAAGTACCGATTATGACGGGTATTGGTGGTAACATGTTGTTCTATGTCGCGTTGTGGTTCATGTAGTATATATTTGGTTATTCAAAACTATTATCAGGTGAATGAGAAATTGATGCCAAAGTAAGCTCCATAAAAATGGTGTTTTGGTGGATTTCCCAAATTGAAGGAAAGCTTGTCCCACATTAGTTGGCTAGGTTAACATTGTATAGGTTTATAAGCCTTGAGATTGAACCTTGGGGTAGGCCTCAAGGGGCACTCAAGTTTTGAAGAAGGGGAGGTTATTGGCAAAGTGGGCTAGACTCATTGGACCTAAAACAAACACAATGCATGCGTAGCTGTTTGAGTGGGCTGGGCTTGGGCGAGGTTGGGCTGGGCTTGTGTAGTCCAATACTTATCATTTTAGGCTGAAAATATTTGAATTTTATTTTTTTAAAAATTAAGTTCTTACTGTTTGGAATTTGAATTTCGGTTTGAAATTCAAAATAAATTTCGAATTGACCCCAACGTTTCTGAGCATTGGCAGTTTGGTCCATTGCATCTTTTCAACTTTTTCCCTCCGACCCGAACGGGTTCTTTGCCTGTTCAAGTCTGTTCCGAACAAGTTCTTTGCCTGTTCAAATCTATCCTGAATAGCCACCAATTCTCCAATAAATACACAAGTCCTCCATTTTGGTTTTTCAATTAATTTTCATCATTCCTTCTGCTTCTACTTCCTGCATTTTGCTGCATTTATTTTTTGTGAGAAAGAGTATAAATGCAAAGTGTGTTCGCTAGACATTTAGTTTGTAGTGCTGCTACTAATTGTCGTTAATCATTTTATCTTGGGAGATAGATATCCACATTCTGAAAGCACCGTGGAGAGTACAAATCTGTCTCAAGGAAACAGTGTTAAACACTGGACTTGATTGAATTTCCAGAAAGTAATACTCTAAGTAGTTTGTTTATAATTTTCATTTCCGGTTTCATTTTTTTTTATGTTTGGTTTTTAGATTCTGTTTTGTTTTTGTAACAAAATAAGAATCTATTTTTCCATATTTTATTTCTATATTTTGTTTTGATTTAAGTAATCAAACAAACTTTCTTCTTCCTTAATCTATTCGTCGAATACAGTGAAGATTCTAACAATCTTAAGACGTATTTGTTTCTCCATTGTATTCAAAATTCTAATTTTCTTTTTTGGTTTTTGTAACTAGAAAATTGTATTGCTTCTAAGTTATTTTTTAATTTTTGTAATTAGATTTGATGGCTACTGAAATTGGTACCTCTAATTCAGCTGTTACACTAACACCGGCTGTTACCTAGAACCCTGTTCAAATTCCTGTGAATCATGAAAAGAAATCGAAAAATTTAATGGTACAAAGTTTAAGAGATGGTAGCAGAAAATGTTGTTCTATCTGACAACTCTAAATCTTGTATGATTTCTTCATGAAGATGCTCCAGTACTTAAAGAGAATGAAAGTGATCGATAAGTTGTTGCTACGATGGATGTTTGGAATCATTTTGATTTTCTTTGCAAGAATTACGTCCTCAATGGCCTAGACAACATGTTGTATAATGTTTACAGCCGTCTTAAAACAGTAAAAGAACTGTAGGATTCTTTAAAAAAAAATACAAGACAGAGGATGCCGGCACGAAGAAATTCGTTGTTGGAAAATTTTTGGACTTTGTTATGATTGATTCTAAAACGGTTATTAGCCAAGTGCAAAGTCTCCAACTTATCTTGCATGATATTCATTTTGAAGGTATCTCTCTCAGTGAATCTTTCCAAGTTGCTGCAATTGTGGAAAAATTATCGTTGCTTGGAAAGATTTCAAGAACTACCTTAAGCATAAATGCAAAGAGATGACATTGGAAGAACTTATTGTCCGATTAAGGATTGAAGAAGATAACCGGAATGCTGAAAAGAGGAATAGTAAAAATCCCATTGAGTCCAAGGCTAATGTAGTGGAACAAGTGCCTAAACCACGTAACAAGAAGAGGAAATTTGCTAGAGATGGTCCTAAACAATGTAACAACAATGGCAATAAAAAGTTCAAAGGAAAATGCTATAACTGTGGCAAGACTGGGCATCATGCCTCTGATTGCCAACGCCCTAAAAAGGATCACGGAAGTACAATAAAAAAGACTACCAATCAAGCCAATGTGATAGAACTAGATTAAATCTCTGATGGGGTAAATGACATCAATCTTTCTGCTGTGATGTCCGAGGCTAATTTGGTTGGAAATCCCAAAGAATAGTGGGTTGACACTGGAGCATCTCGACATATTTGCACGGACAGAAAGACGTACACTACTTATAATGAGGCTGCAAATGGTGAACAACTTATTCATGGGAAATTCGTCTACTTCTGCTGTGGCTGGACAAGGGAGAGTTATCTTGAAGATGACATCGGGGAAGGAACTTACCCTCAACAATGTGCTGCATGTACCAGACATCTAAAAGAATTTAGTTTCTGAATCTTTGTTAAGTAAAAATGATTTTAGGCTTGTATTTGAGTCTGATAAGTTTGTTTTAACAAAGAGTGGTATGTATGTGGGTAAGGGATACATGAACGAGGGTCTCTTCAAATTGAATGTAATGACTATTGTACCGAAATCTGTTATTAATAAGAATAATACATCTTTTGCTTATATTCTTGAATCAAATTTATGGCACTATAGATTAGGACATGTGAATTTTGATGCTTTGCGTAGATTAATTGGTTTGGATTGTATACCAAAGTTTGAAATTGATCCTAATAACAAATGTGAGATATGTATAGAAGCAAAACTAATTAAGGCTCCATTTAAATCGGTTGAAAAAAAAAAAAAACCGAACCTCTACAATTAATTCGTACTGATGTGTGTGATCTTAAATTTGTTCAAACTACGGAGGAAAAAAGTATTTCATAACATTTATTGATGATTGCACAAAATATTGTTATGTATATTTACTTAGAAGTAAAGATGAAGCCTTGGAAATGTCTAAACTGTATAAAGCTGAAGTTGAAAATCAACTTGGTAAAACCATTAAAATGGTTAG